ACTGAGGCTTTGGGGTCCCTTTAGGCTGCACTTGCTGCCCATTTCTGCTGTTCTACTTCTGTGGTTTGGTGTGACAGTTTTCAACTTTTCTGTGGAGTTTCTTCTGACTGCTGAAGAATTTTCATGCATCTTCTATAAAGAGTTGATTGGACGTGGTAAGTTACACACAGTGGCCTTCAGTGTCACACAGACTTTATACTATACTTTTCATTGTAAATTAATCATTATACCAAGGAAAAAGAATGGCTCTACAAGCACTAGGTGTCTGGTGTTTCATATAGTCACCATGACGTGTGTATTTTTCTCTGTGCTAGCTGGGCTGGGCTGTGTGACTGTGTATCTGTGTGTCTGTGTGTCTGTGCCTGTGCCTGTGCCTGTGCCTGTGCCTGTGTGTTTGGGAAGGCTGAAAGAATATGACCAACAGACTGTCTCAGACATATGTAATAAGATTTAAAAATACAGACCCAGAAGTCTAAATTAGAGTTATTTTTTACTCAAAAGGAAGAGTATGAGGTTTCTATTGTTTGTTGTTTAGGATCTTATTTTTATTTATGTGTATATTTGTGTATATGTTTGCATGAGTATATTCACATGCATGGGGGTACCTGTGGAAGCCAGGAGAGGGCCGGGGATCCCCTGAATGTGGAGTTACAGGCAGCTGGGTGCTGGAATCCTAATTCCAGCCCTCTTTAAGAATAGTAAGTGCTCTTAACCTCTGTGCCATCTATCCAGCCCCATGAGAATAAAGTTTAACTGACTTAAGTCAAAGATTAAGTCTCTGCTCATCATATTAGGGACTGAAAAGATGAAAGAAAAGTTAGGTTGAGGCCTTGCCTTCACCAACAACATGAGCTTCTGGGATGAACACAATTCCAATTCCTTTTCCCATTGAATATCCTCCCTTCAAGGCAAACCTGCGATCACTGCATGAGACATACATGAAAGGGAAGAAAGAGAACTGACGAGCAGATTTGAGCAGAGCTTCATTTGGAGAAAATAGAAAACTAGCTGCAGATAGTGAGGTGGTCTCCAACAGCAAATGCAAAAGCCACAGGTTGGTAGGAGAGAAAAGCCACAATAGTTTCAAGATCTCCAAGTTTCACTAACCTTCTTTTGATCTCAACTCTGGTAGAAACTCATTCCAGCTCCTTCTTGTGACAGACTTTACTCCTCTAGTTGCCCTCTGGGTATTTAATGCCTTATATGCCATGGGGTAGGAAGATCACAGGGGCATCCTGTGCTCTGCTTCCCAGTGATCAAGCCTACCCTTCATACCCTACAGAAGCCCTTCCTGGTCACTGACTGCAGAAACTTGGCTCTGATCCATCGTTTCTTCTTCAAGTGGGTGACATCATCTAAGCTATAGAGAAAAGCATATTAGATGCCACCTTAGTCTAATTATTACATCTAGATGACTACAAAGTCCTCTGCTTGCTGTCCCTTCACCTCTGAAATACCTTCTTCCTCCCTTCCTGATGGCCATGGTCCAGGTCTAATGGACCTTACGCCCAGGCCAGGATGGAAAGAACTCTGAAAGATGTACACCCATGTTCTCTTCCAGACCAAGAACATATTCCTCCCATGGCTCTGCCTGCCCAGTGTTCCGGCAGATAAAACACTGAATGAATGCCATTTAAGAACCCATGATCAACTGGAACAGTGCTTTTGGATATTCTAATATCTACAACTATTTCAAACAGATCTCACATATGTGGCCAAGAAAACAAAGACTATCAGTTATTGGGACTGCCCAGAGTTCCATATCTAAGTGGCAAGTCATTTCCAAAATAAGCATAGACTTCAGTGTTATTAAATGCTCTGGCTCCAACTCAAATAAACAAAAACTGAATCTTGGTTGTACTTTTCCATGTGCCAGTGCTATAACAGGTATGGAATGAAATCTTAACTGTGCCGGTGTTCAAGAACTAGCACGTTGATGAATTTTGAGCAAAATTTTAAACCAAGATTCCTGGATTGAGTCAAAGTTTCAAAATAAAGAATGTTAATTCTAATAAGATTTTTTTTTCAGAACCAAATTTAAATGAGGAAATATGCAACTGGACAGGCCAGAAAAAGTTCCAAAATCCTCTAAAGGAAAACTCTGGCAAGGAAGCTGATCTGGTACAAAAGCCAGTGCCACGGCACGGCTTTAGTGGTATATAAAGAGAGCACTTCCAGGTTGGAATGTAAAAGCCATCCCAGGAAACAGGAGATAGAGTAAAGGTTGTCTTCTGTAGTATCTGCAGGAGGATTTATAGCTCCGAAAAGAAAGACCCTCATACTAGAGTATTGGCTAATCAAAAGCTCAGACTTTTGGAAAGATGAATCAATAAAGCCTTGATTACTGACTACTTTAAAATTTTTCATTAAAAAAGCAGCAATACTGCCTAGCTTGTGGGCACACACCATTGATCCCAGCACTCCAGAGGCAGAGGCAGATAGATCACTGTGAGATCCAGGCTAGCCTGGACTACATAGTGAGTTCCAGGCAGCTGGGGCTACAGGGAGACGCTGTCTTTAAAAGAAGCAACAATACCAAATTAATGTCATCAGATTGTCCTCTAAAGGTGAAATGTTTATTCAACTAACCCCAGTTAATTGGTTGTATTTCAGTAGCACATTGTTAAGCAGAAACAACTGATGATTCTCTCTCTGAATCAGTTTCATTAACTTTCTGACACTGTTTATACAGAAACAAAGTGAGGGTGAATTTTAGAGACTCCAAATTATTACTCTCTGGTTTAGAAATAAAGAATTCAGAATCATCTCAATATAAAAAGTCAAATATTAAAACTCAAGTATAAAGCAGTCAGACTGAAAGAAGTTGTCAAAGAGCCTAGTCCTAGGCCTCAAGTCAAAGAAAAGTAAGTTCAACAGACCAAAAAGTCAGAGCATCAAGAAAAAAGATCAACTAACCAAATATTCAAACCTAAAAGAAAAAGAGAATGTTTACCATTCTGCAATCTAAGTCACTTAAGTGGTGTCTAAACACATGTGGCTTTGTTTTCATCACATGTCAAAAACAACCAGTTACTAACCATGTCCACATAGGTGACAAGATTTTTTTCATGACATGGGAAAAAAAAAAAACTCCTCTTACCTGAAATCCACATTATGCTTAAGTCTCCAAAACATTCATTTGGCAACTGTAAAGCTCTATGCTACTAATGGTCCCTGCCCTTCTAGAATGAAAAGTATGGACAAGTGCACATGTTTTAAATTATGTACTTCATTTTAATTTTGATTCTCAGGTAGAAAAGTAGCCATAAAACAAAGACTGTAACTGCAAATGACCCCAAGGCTCTACCTTGCCAGCTCGATGCATCTTTCACCTTTGAAGATCTGACCTTCTTTCTCTAGAAGTCATTCTAGATTAGTCCCAACTCCAGAGCTCAGGCAGCGAGCACCCAGAGCACTGTGTCTGTCCATTATCATGAGAGCTGTCCCTGGGGCCAGCAACTGGTAGCCAACTGCATCTTAGAAAACTACTCAGGAGAAGAAGGAAAAGGAACTGAAATATTGTGATATATTTTACTCTCAACCCCTACGTCACACTAATCTACTTTCGTCTTTGAATAGAAAAAGATAAAAAAGAAACAGATGAAAGAGAAAAATGAACAGAGAAAGAAGATAAGGAAGAGAAGAACAGTAAAGAGGAATCATTAAAGGCTGTAAAGTCTGGCAGACCTGATGTGGTTCTGCAGCTCAACAAGCTGGTCTTAGACCTTGCCCAATCTGTTTGAATTTCTGTTTTCTCATTTTCTCATTTGTAAAGCTGACAAATGACTAAGTTTCCCAAAAGAATATCAAAATAGGTTTATAAAGCATGTGGCATTACAGAGGTGATACTTAAAAGTAGGAGAGATGAGAAGAGGTTTATAGGAAGAGTCAATGATCAAAGAGCAGCATGAAATCACTAGAATGGCGCTTCATTTTTTTCCAAATCACCTGTTGCACAATTAACAATGTATGTCATTTAGAAATGAATGTACCCCAATCCTCCACTTCAGTCTCAAGGTATATACAGTCCTGCTCAGGAAACAGGAATCACACATAAAATACATAAAATAGCATGCATTCCTAAGTGTCTACATGCTGTACAGAATGCAGGTGCTGCAGCAATTTGGAATGAGAGCTGATTGATTTCAGAATCTCAGGGAAGAGAGGTAGAAAAATAAATGGACATCAAGAGAAGGGAAGGCTTGTCATATGTACAGAAAGAAAACATTCCATGGCTAAGTTTAGTCTTGAAATACTACAGAGATGAGCAGAGGAAGAAGTTGTGCAGTGATGACAGCCCAGACTAGGGAGAGGACAGGCAAAAGACAGAGCACACACAGTAGCAAATGAACTGGCCTTAGAACTGAATCAGGACAATGAAAGAGGCCTCTGCCTCACCTCCCTTCAGGTTTCTCACTCCCATTTAAGAAGTTGTGGGTGGGTCGGTGGTATTTCACATGCCTGGTATTTCTTAGGAGGAAATAAAATCACACTCCTCTTTTATTTCCCATTAGAAGTTGTTACTACCATTTACAATAACCCAACTGTGTGGGTCAGGGGTTAAAAAGGTGGGCTCAGCTGGGTTCATATCCAGCTCTGCCACTTCCCAGCTGTGGGACCTCAGGCAAGTGAACTAATTGTCCACATCTCTTATATGCAGAAGAGGTAGTAAGGTATAACCCCCCATAGCAGATTGCTGGGAGATAGAGTCATACATTCAGTAAGTTCCATAATTGAGAAACACTTAGAAAAGTGCATAGCATTTAAGAAGAAATTCACAAGTATCTACTTACTACTATATTATTTATATCTGTTGGCTTTCATCTCACTGAAATATAGCCATGGAAATCTCAAATAACTATCTCACAAACAACTAAGGGGGAGTACCAAGGCAAATACCATCTGGAATTCCAAGGTCTTCCAAAATGACTACCAACAAACCCAGCCACTGTGCAAGACCCAGACAATCACACATCAAACAGAAAGGCCCGGCTCCACACCTGGCTTGGTGAATGGCCTCCATCCACTCTTTTCCGTCCTGCTCCTCCTCACAGCGAAGCTCCAGTGGTTTTTGACCCTCGTGTCCAAAAAGAACAGTGAAATAATACTGAAAAGAAAAAGGAACACAAAATTTTATAGCTTTATTTTTCTTTATTTTTTAATAAGGGGAGAGCATGAATGCAGTCCCCCACTACCACAAATTATGCAATCGAGTTTCCCAAATTTGGTGAAATCACAGGGGTCAGCACATCCCAAGTGCAATGGATGAGACTCGCCCTGGGGAAACCACCTTCCTGATCATGGTGTCTCCCCTACTAGGTAAATATATAGCTTTATTTTTCGAAAGTAGAAATATAATAACACAGTGCCTGCCTTTGAGAGGTATAAATTTATTAAAAGTATCAACATTATGTAAATTGTATTTCAAAATCACTTCTGGTCTAGTTAGGAACGTCTTTGCACCCAGACGATAACATAGAGTGCATTTTAACATCCCTTTGCAGGAGTCAACCCACAGCCTTACTGCACTGCGTATTTTTATATACATACAAAAAGAACATTGCCTAGATTTGTCTATGAAGATATGCTAAGTTAGCATGAAAAAATTTCTAGAAGTTTCCTTTATGGTGGGTGTGAAAAAGCTGTAGGGATATGCGAATCTCTACCACTGAGCCAACTAATTCTGTTATCTAACCTGCCCTATATCTAGTCTCCATTCTGGGAAAGAACATCTACAGCTATATCGAATTGCTGCTGTTGCCTCTCCTGCAACCTTGGCAGGTATCACCAATTGCTTATGTGCTTGTACCCCAGGCAGATTATACTTGGCATGGGAAATATAATCACTGTCCTGAGGGTAAGACACATCAGAATTTCTTTTTTATAGAAGTATAATCTAAGTTATTGTTAAATAAAAGAAAAAGGGCATAATACCATATGCCAGGGTAAAATGATTCATCAAGAATAAAAATATTTATTTTATATGAGCTTATTTATAATCAACCCAAACTAGAAACAACTCAAATAACCTTTAGTAAGTGAATGGACAAATTCTTGTACATCCTTCCAATGGAATGCTACTAACCAGTAAAAAAGGAACTTCCAATTCTTGACAAAGACAGTAATTTGAATGCCTCTCAGAAGCATCATGTTGAGTTAAGAATTCAACCTCAAAAGGCTACATACTGCTTAATTCCTTTTGTGTGATACTCTTTAAAAGAGTGTCAGAGAATGAATCAGTGGTTTCCAGTGGCCAAGGAGGGAATGTGTGACTGCAAAGGTACAGTAGCAAGAACGTTGTGGGGGACTAAACGATTCTGCATCATCATTATAGGAGTTTAATAAATCCAAATGAGAGTATAAATCCATAGAATCATCTCCATAAAAGCTTTTATATTGTTGGTATAAGTATTGTAAAGCTTATGCATGGTTATTCAAGGGTCTCTTAAGAATTCCAGAATCAACAATTATAAAACCAAGAGCAAAAGACCCCCAACCCACACTAGTCCACTAAACTCCTCTGTGTTCCACCAAAGATGAACACGAAATGCAGAACTTTACAGCAATAAGAAGAGTCCATGGACCAAACCTGTAAAGAGGAATTTGTTTTAGAAATCATCTTGGAGTAATCAAAGTAGAATTTGGGCAACTCTCATATAGAATTGCACAAAAAGGCATTATGAAAATGGCCATTCTATCAAAAGTAATCAAGATTCCATGCAATCCCAATACAAATTCCAATGCAATTCTTTACAGAAATTTTAAAACTCTTAAATGCTTATGGAAGTACAAAAGATCCTAGATAGCTGAACAATGAAAACACTGCTGGACAGGTATCACTGTTCCTGATTTCATGTATGCTACAGAGTCATAGTAGTAAAAATAGCATGGTACTGGCACAAAAACAGGGACATTGATCAACCGTCTAGAATTGAGGCACCAGATATAAGTCCACACACTTACAGCCACCTGATTTTTGACCAAGATGCCAAAAATACACATTGGAGAAAAGATAGCATCTTAAACAAATGGTTCTGAAAGAAATGGGTATCTACATATAGAATAATGGCAATGGCATATAGAAGAATGAAACTTGATCCTTCCCTCTTACCCTGCACACAATCAAATTCAAACAGATCAATGGTCTCAATGTTAGACCTGAAACTCAGAAACTTCTAGAGGAAAAAGTAAGGAGTACACTTCAGGACACAGGCTCAGGTAAGGACTTTATGAATAGGACCCTGGGTGCACAGAAAATAGGACTAATAATCAACAAGTGGGGCCTCATGAAATTCAAAAGCTTCTGTGCTATAAAGGAAGCTGATAATCAACTGAAGAGGCAGCTTACAAAATAGGGGGGAAATCTTTGCCATCCAACAGAGGATTAATGTCCAGAATATACAAAGAACTCAGAATATTCAAAGAACTAAATAGGAAAACAAATAACCCAATATAAAAATGGGCTGTGGAACTAATCAGAGAGTTTCCCAAAAAAGGCACAAATGGCTAAGAAATATTTTTTAAATGTTCACCATCACCAGGCATAGTGACACACTCCTTTAATCCCAGCACTCAGGAGGCAGAAGCATGTGGATCTCTGTGAGATGGAGGCCTTCTTGGTCTACATAGTGAGTTCCAGGACAGCTGGGGCTACAAGAAGACCCTGTCTCAAAAAAATGTGTTCACCATCCTTAGCCATTAGAGAAATGCAATTAAAATTAACTTGAGAGTCCATCTCACTCTAGTCAGAATAGCTAATATTAAGAAAATAAATGACAACAAATGTTGGCTAGGATGTGGCAAAAAGGGAATACCATGCACTAAAGGGGTCTCCTTTAGTCCAGAATTTGGCCACTCTGAGTGCTGAGTTTGTCTAAGAGCTGACTGATAAAGAGCAGCAGCAAGGGCAGCCTGGGCCAGCCAGCAGCTGCAGCACATACAGGCTGGAGGAATGCTGCCCAGTGCCAAGGTCACAGAAGAGGATCACGGGATCCAGGGAAGGAAAGATATTTTTTGTTTCTGTGTGTGCATCCTCAATAACCAGGGCTTTTGCAAACCCAAGGGGACAGCCCCAAAGACTGAGCTTTAACCTCTGGCCACACACAGAGGAAGCCCATGCTGGGTGGGCCCCACTTAGGAAAGCCAGACTGGAGGAGAATAGGAAGGACCACCAGGGACCAAGGCACAGCAGGTGCCTGTCTCTCTGCAGTGAGTTCCAGTCAGCCATGGGGAAAACTTTCCTCGACACTGGGCCATCTCTCAATATTTGCATCTCAAGTATCCGCAATACTAATTACCAAGAGAAACTGGAAGGGAAATGGGAACTCTTCGAATCAGAGTAATCAGAAAACACACTCGGCCTGTCCAAGGCTTCATCTGGGACCCCACTAAGTTGATGTGAAAGGGAAACTTCAAATGACAAACAGCACTTTCTGTTGTCCCTCTACCACTTACCCCAGATCTGCTCATCCAATGTGACAGTTACACACTCATATTCTTCAAACTAAAACCATCAGCTCAGAGCTCTTATTAACTTGTAGTCCTAGAGAGGGACTGCAGTCCAATTTTGTCTAAATGGAAATCATTGACCTAAGAGACTTCTTGGATTCTCTGCTCATGACCCTGGGCATTGAGGACTCTGGGTCATGCCTGTGGCATAACTCACCACACTTCCTCAGAGGCAGCCCTGAGTCCTTCAAAGGAGACCTGTGTCTAGTTCTTAAACCTCTGGTGCAGGCAGATGACAGAACGCCATCAATTCAAGGGAGACAAGCTAATAAAAAAAGACCTCTGAGACAGAGAAACACCATATTTAACATTATCTCCAATAAAACTCCATTTAAATTTGGGGGAGAAGGAGTGAAAACTCAATAAAATAATAAGTCAGTGGTTTAAAGGCAGACTTCTAATGCGTGGCATTTCAGCAACTGTTGGCTTCTGTTCAAGCTCGATGCCCAGGCCAGGAAAAGCATTCAATGAACTGGCCTGGTCTATCTAAGGGCTGTAAGGTAGTGCCACAGCAGCTGCTGCCTGGGAGCCTAATTAAAATCCACCTTTAAAAGAAAGCCAGACATTTCCATTAGCAGAATCCATGCAAAGGTTAAGCTATGTCTCTAGCATAGCAATGCTGGGAAGAATAGTAAGAAATGCAGCTTCTATTTCCCAAAGTCAAGTCAAATGAAGCACTGCCTCTACATGGGCCCTCAAATTATCTGCATTGAGCCACTAATCAAAAGTCTCCTCTGTATCCCTAGGTGTGCTGGTATCTGCCTATAGTCACAGAAGTTAGAGGCTGAGGTAAGAGGACTGTGAGTTTGAGATCAACCTGGTCTATGTGGTAAGTTCAAGGCCAGCCTGAGCTACATAGTGAGACCTTGTCTCAAAAATTAAGGGCTAGGGATGCAGTTCAGTGATATATTTCTTGCTTAGGATGTAAAAGACTCTGGGTTCAATACCAAGCACTTCCAAGAAGGAGTGAAAGAGAAAGGAAGGGAAGAAGGAAGGGAAGGAGGAAAGGAGGGAGGGAGGGAGGGAGGGAGAGAGGGAGAGAGGGATGGGAGGAAAGGAAGGGATTTTTCTTTGTGTCATCTGGACTCCCAGGAATGCTCTGTACTATGGATCTATGTCTTAGATCTGGTGTCTTAATCTTAGATTACAGACCCCTTAGATGTCAAAATTAGCAGCAGAAATCACTGATGGCATTCTGTGACCTCTGATTTGCCCCCTTACAGTAACTTGAAGGAGATATTTCAAGGTTCTGGGTGATGAGAAAGCCAAAGGAAGACTCAAAACAGTGATGGTCTGTTCATGTCTTTAAATCTAACATCTACAATGACCATGAATTTCTTTTCTTTCTGATTTTTTTTCCTACCCTGGATACTCCTGCTGTCTGATTATGCCACAGGAGCTCACATTTCTCCTACTAAACAGCATTCAGATTGTGTTTAAACCTGAACTTGCTTCTCCTCCCTCTCCTGGCCTTCAAACCTCTCATTTCTGAACTTTGTTGAGTTATGTCAATGAAATATTAGTTCCTCTATCAGAATCCTTCCCTGGCACCTTCCAGCCAAAAACAGTCCTTCCCTTCACTAGGTTTCAGCAGCCCCAGGCATATACGTGCCTCTTCCCTGCCAGGCTTGTCCCATTGGACCTTGAAGCTAGCAGTGTGTCAGGCACACAGAAAGCCCCTAATACCTTTAAGGGAAAAAAGTTATCATCAGTAAAGAAACAGAAGCTGTAAATGACCTAATAACCTCACTTCAGACAGCTATCTATGGCGATCAGTGTCATTACTATGTAGCTATATTCAGAAATTTTCCAGAAGGAT